GAATTAAAAAGTATTTCATAGTATTTCACTAATCTCTTCTTACAATGATTTACAGTAGGCACAGGTTCTAGGTGATCTAAAACTTGGCTAGTATATCCTCTTAAACAGAAATGCCTGTTGCTGTGGTGGTAAAACTTTATCCACTCTACATTATTTTGCCTCTGGGTTTTTGCAAACTGTGGCAGCAACTGCTGGCATCCACCAGGCTGCAACAATCAGCTGCCCTTGATTGAATTGTTGCTTTTATTCCTGGACACAAATTCTTGTTTTTCCCTCAAAGCAGGTCTGACCTACTAGCAATGCAAATATATTTCCGGTTTCTACAACATTTAGAGAAACTGATTTTGTATGTGTGCGGCATAGTCCTCCTGCTCATTCTGAACATTTGTAAAGAAATAGGAAACATGCCTTATGAACATCTTAGTCAAGTAGCCCTGCTAAATTCATGACTCGTTCATAAAGAGCAGCCTCATTATTAACCAGATGAGGGAAGAAACATGTGGAATTCTAAGCTCCATAGTTTTTTTTTCTGCTATCATCCTTGTCATGGCTTAGTGCCAGGTTATGTGGGTGTGTGTGTAGCGGAGCTAGTTCGGATATGGTGACGCCATCGCCCTCCCTGCGCATAGCAGGGACCTCAGCTGCCTGGGCTGAGGGAGGTCTCCTTTAACTCATGTGGCTGGTTCCCTGTTGCGTTACGCCGGAGACCCGGGTTTGCGCCCCCGGTGTTGCAGGACGAAACGGGCGGGGTGCAGTGGCGGAGGGCACGAGCCCGCGCGGAACCGCAACGGTCCTGATGAGGCAGACTGAGATGTTGTCCCATAAGTGGAAATGGAGTGGTGTGGAGGATGATACATCAGGCTAATTGCAAATCACCTACCACATTTTTTTTCAGAAAGCTGTTGCTAAGCTCGCAACATGCTTCACAGATATTTAAATAAGTGGATTGTGATTCTTCTCATTACCATATTTCCTCTTAGTACAAAGGACAGTGTTTATTTTGCACATTATACTGCAATTTGCAGTTGTGCTGCTATGTCTGCACTGCAACAGGCCTCTCTTAGCTCTGCTAGGTCAAAGATTACCAGCCCCAAGCTACAGCGTAGCTTTTTAACATAGCGCATAGTGAGGAAGGTGCTGTATCCATGGAAACAATGCTACTGAAAAGAAGGACTAAGACTACACATTTCTCCAAATTGTCTTTTGTTTTTAGACCTACTTAGGAAAATAGCAACATCAGAAAAAAAAAACTTCTCTTGCTCCATCTTGTCAAACCCTGGATTTGTTTACAAAAACCAAAAGTTTAGTAAAAACATCTTGCTATAAAGGGCATTTTATCAGCTTGGCAATATTTCAGTTTGCATGTCTGTCACTGTGGATGTATACTTTAACTTGGAATGCAAACGAAAACAAAATGTTATCCTGAAAATTGCTGACTTTATCTGCTGAGCAGGCCACCAGGAGGAGAGGAGACACTCTTGTATTTGTCTCTTCCATGAGATGAAATCTGCAGCATTCACAGGTTGCAGCATGCCTTGCTTCTAGAACGAAGGTGTTGATGCAGGGGTGTGTCAGGATTGTGTGGGAGGTGTCAGGGGAAAGTTTCAGCAGTATTCTTTGGTGTCACAAGAATAGTTCACCAATTCTAAGAATGTGACCATTGGAGTTAGTTATGGAATTAGAAGGAAGTATTTAGAGAGACTGTGAAAAGATTTGTTAGGTCTGCTCCTGAATAAGACTGTCAAAACATTCTGTTTTATAGGAAGCTAACACAGAGCTGGCAGCCTAGATACAAAACACTTGAAGAAGAGCGGATAACACATTGTAAACCATTCTTTTCCTCTTTTGGGGTTCAATCCAAAACGTAGGCTGAAGGTTTGCAATTGGTGGCTGTTAATATCAGTTTTTTTATTATTAAATATCAATTTAGAAAAGAATATTAAAGAATTAAAAACTAGTTTAAGGCATTTTAAGATTCCACTACATTGAGAATTCCATGTAGTTCTTTTAATAAATAGCAGAGAAATAAGGAATATGTCTTTCAAGTGGAGCAGGGTTATTGGATGTATAATAGTGTGTAAAACAACTAGAACAAGTACTAATTGTGGATAAATTACCTGTATCAGGTCCCTTCTCAGACTTCTACGTTCAACACTAAAAAGGTTCCCTGAAAGAACTGACCCTTTTTAGTTTAGATCAGAGAAAACTGTGACGGGACCTGATACAACTACAGTATTACAAATCCTCAAAGGCATTGACAACATCAGTCCAATTCATTCTGATGTCTGCTGAATGGACACTGAAATGGGAAAAAGTCAAGTGGAAACTAATTGGAAGCGCATTTAAAGGGTGCTTCTTTAATAATAATAATAATAATAATAATAATTGCTTACACTTATATAGCGCTTTACAGGTAATGGGGACTCCCCTCCACCACCACCAAGGTGCAGCATCCACCTGGATGATGCAACGGCAGCCATACTGCGCCAGAACGCTCACCACACATCAGCTCTCAGTGGGGAGGAGAGCAGAATAATGAAGCCAATTCATAGATGGGGATTATTAGGAGGCCATGATTGGTAAGGGCCAATGGGAAATTTGGCCAGGATGCAGGGGTTACACCCCTACTCTTTTCGACAAACACCACAGAGTCAGGACCTCGGTTTTACGTCTCATCCGAAGGACAGCACCTGTTTACAGTATAGTGTCCCCGTCACTATACTGGGGCATTAGGACCCACACAGACTGCAGGGTGAGTGCAGGTACTGACCAGGCTCACACCTGCTTAGCTTCAGTGGGCTGCCAGCTGTGAGATGCAGGGTCCTACCCAGTCCTGTGGTTAAAGGGGATACTTTAGATTCCTACAAGAAACACTTAAATGAGACTCTTGGATCAATAAGGTACTACTGTAGCTATACTATACTACTAACAGATAGGCTGAGTGGTGCCCTCTTGTTTGTAACCTTAAAATAAATTTTAAAATCTTGATTATTTAAATGTCTGAGACATTTATATGTTTAGGTATTGTTACAATTCTTATTTCCTTTGTTTCTTGACTGTCAATGACCCTTAATCATTAATCCAGAATTCAATTAACCATGGTAACCAGAGGATTCCTTTGATCAGTATGTCTCAGACCTAGTACAACTCAGTAAACTCTTCTTTCTTTGAAGCTTTAAAGAGAACTGCAAATGTTGACACTAGCTATTGTAGAGTCCATATTTCACCTACCCCACCTGTAGTGGTATAGCCATTGTAAGGAGCATATGAAGTCTGTTACTCTCCTTAAGCTAGTGTCACACTACACAATTTTTACTAGGATTTTCAGTCGTAGGCTTCATCTACATCATCGTAAGAAAATCACAGCGAGTTGCAGTCGCAGTTCGCGCCAGTTACCGTCAGTTGTGCATTTTGACACTCCCAGTAACTCAGTCATAGCGCTTAACAGCCCCTGCGACTCACTGTGACTAGCTACAATAAAATCAAACTGGTTTGATTTTCTTGTAGCGAGTCGCAAGTTGTGGGGGGGGGGCTCTTGTGCCTGCGACAGTCAACAGCCAATGAGCACTCAACCAGAAGTACAATGCGTACAATGCAGCTGCAAGGAAAGAAGGAAAGCAAGAGTTTTGGACGGTGCAAATGGACGAGAGGCTCGTCAAACTTTGGAGCCAGCAGAGTTGTCTGTTCGGTGTTTCTTGTTTGTCGTTTCGTATTGCTATTTGTTGTTTGTTTACTTTCGTGCGGTGCTCCTCCTCTTATTCCGGTGTGCTCCACGTTGATTGGCTGCCAAAGTGAGGCGACCTCGCGGTACTTTCGCAGCGCAGTACAAGATTTGGAACCGTGATGAAAAGTTTTGAGGGAATCGTAATTAATCACCCCCTGCGATTCCTAGTTGTATAATTTGACACCCTCTAGGACAGAAAAGGCAGCAAGATTCAGCAACTGCAGTCGTTAAATTTGACATGCTCCCTGGCTAGAAGTCGTGTCTAGTCATGTAGTGTGACGCCGGCTTAGTTATAGCACGGATTTGCGTGGAAATATGACGACACATGAGTTTTCGATCTTCCTGGTGAAACAGAACTTCTTCCAGGTGAATTTCCTTTTTTGAGTGTTTTAAGTTATTAAAAAGCTCCGAAGCAAAAGTTTGAAGGAGGTTACCGCTGACAATGCTGTATCTTTATTATAGTTATGATCTTATAAAGTTAAGATCGAGGCAGTAATTAATGTACTGTAATTAAAGCCAGAAGCAATAACAAGGAAAAATTCCACCAAAATGGACTTTCCTGTGCATGTTAATTGAGGTTATAGAACCTGTGTCTCCTTGTTGGAAACTGAAACGCTGTGACCTGAGGAAACTGGAGGCCTTCAAACCTAGCATGCTGTTTGAGTTTATCTGGCATGTAAATCCTCAATAGTGAAAATAATTTTAAATTGAAGTTACTCAAACAGGTGTAGCACAGAAATGCATCGACAGGTCTTGGGCCCTGGATCTCATTGTGGGTTAGGGCACTTTCTGTGTAGCATTTTTTATGTTCTTCCCTTTTTCATGGGAGTACACACGTCCCAGAGGCAGGCTGGCTAGGTTCATTGATGCATCTAAATTGTCCCGGTGTGTGTACTGTATATGCAAGTAACCTGCGAGTTACTGGCGCATCCTGCTTTGTTCTGACCTTTACTAGGAAGTCACTTTCTGGCAATGGACACATTGTGCTGAGACCACATTATACTTCCTACCTGAATCATACTGTATTACTGGCATTGCGGAGCACTTCACATTGTAAAAGAGAGCAGGTAAGGTGCTTGCTTCAGGAATCTGTACTAACCTTTTCCTTTTTCTGTTTTTCTTCTCTGACAACATGCTGCCCTGCTTCACTGCAGTTATAAGGAAAACCTGGGTAATATTTCCAAACAAGTTACTGTACTTTTTGAAGCAAATGCTAAATGCGCAACTGTCTCTGCCACTTTTTTGACATTTTTTCAATTTGACTTTTCTCTTTTAGATTTTCCAGGAGGACATGATGCACTCTTTGCTTCAGAACTCCATGCATGTTTTCCGAGCGATCAGTGGCACGTCGTCCGACCTAGGATATGGATCACCATGCCACTCCTTTCCACCGACCATGTAAATCCTTCCTTTGGGAACAGTGAGAGCCTGGGAAAAGAAATGCATTATTTATATATAAACTTTCATTCAGTGTGTATATAAATGAGACCCAGAACTTTTTCTACTGTATGCAACTGCCCTTTCCTTACAAACACAAGAAGATAGGACAGGATTAGATAGGATGTTTGATCAAGGTAAAAAACAGATAGAATCCCAATTAAAATGAATCATTTTTTGACTTCTGTCCTAAAGCCAGTTTTCTCAGTGGAGGTCAGTTCTCAGTATTACATTTTTTATCTTACTGGCTCATCTTACTGGATGTAAAAAAAATGCCATAGTTCACAGATGTTCTTTTTGCAGATAAAGATTGGAAGCCTGTAATAAAAGTTTGCCAACAAAATCATCCTGAGTTTTTGAGAGCAGATCGGAAATGTCTCAAGAGTTCAGTGTAAAGCAACAAAGTCTTAACTGTACTGTAGATGCACCACATATCAGTCCAAGGAAAATTAAATTAAGGACCTGTTAACTTCAGTATATGAAAGGTACAACTGATACATCTTGCCAACTTACCTATAACTGTTAAGGTGCCCTTCAAATCTTTTTTATAATAAATAAATTATTGGATTAATTATTGCAGTTCATTAAAAAGCATCACTATATATACTGTATATCTCTATATGATGAAGATTTGTTATGACTTTTATGGAGATTCTGACTCAATAAAAATGAATAAGATGAGTTTTTGTTGATAGAATCACGTGTAAAAAAAACTGGCACCTCTTGTCCTTTCTTACAAAAACACATATGACCTGTCAAACCAGATTTTAACTTTTACTTGACACTCTTTCCCACTTTTGGGTTTAGATAGTAAGAAGATAATTCTATACAGGTCAACTTCACTATTAGAGAGGATACATTGCCTACGTCACTGTGTCTTATTTAAAGTGCATAAGGTTGTATTAATAGCATTCCTCACCACTATAGTTTGTAATACAAAACTCTTCAATATTTGTCAGCAATAGCTACCTTTTGGCATACAGTATATTTGACCAAAGTGCTTCATCTGTTTAAATTACTGTTTAATTAGATTTTACAGTAAATCAATCTTGTACTCAAGAGCTGGGTTTGTGAGCAGAAATGACCATCTGTTTTGTTTTTAGATCAATAACTGGGAGAAAATAAACAGAGTAAACAAATCTTTCATCGTGGTCTTAAAGCAGAGAAAAATATAAATTTTCATTTTAAATGTTTATTCCAATATGCAAAAGAGAGGATAAAATGCACAAAGAATGCATTAATTTACATTGCAATATAAAGTGCACATGAATCCGTTTTGTTGGTTTATCAACATGGGGGCGAAAGAAAAAATGAATGTACTTCAAATTGGTTTTAAAATTAAATGGTTTTATTACAATTTACTATTCATCTGATGAGTCACTTTGAAATTTAACCATGTCATACCTAAATGAATCTGTCTTCTGGATCCTTAAAAACACATTGACTAATTTTATTGGTAATACATATAGGCACTAATTTTCTAACCCTGGACAGCTTATTGTTAATTTAGATTTGCAGTTTTAGGACTATTGCCAGTCAGGGTGTAGTTTCATTGTTAGTGTCTTAGAGAACTGGGTGAAGTATTAACAGCTGTGCATTGAAAAGAAAAAAAGTTTCTGCAGCGGAGTGGAAATTGCCTCACTCTTGAGCCCGTTAACCACATCCTTCAGCATTGTGGGGAAGGGCATCGGCTATAAGTCTTGGTTTCTCTGCTGTGCCAGATGTGTTTGTAACCAGTTTTAAAGAAGAGTGACCTTTGCGCTGATTACTGGAATATTCAGGGACATGTTCCTCAAACAAAACCACAACAAAAATGGTCTTTAAATCAAATATATCTAATGCTCTTTCTACTTATGTTAATGCTTACAGGCACAAATTCTTTTCTTAATAGTTATAGGCTTCATTCAATGATAGAAAAACAGGCAGGCAGTACCACATTCAAATATAGCCGGAGCACAGAAGAATTTAGGGATAGCCTCACAGTTCAGTAAATTTCAGGAGATGTAAACTGTCATGTATTGTTGACAGCAGAACCCATTTAAGAACTGCCCACATACCTATACCATACAAATGTACAGTACATAGATAAGTACACAGAGGGTGCTGTTTAGAACATGGCAATGATGGGCAGCTCCAAGACAGAGGTGTCCAGATCTGCAGAGTACCTGCTCTTACTCTTCCTGTAGATCCCCATCTCTGAAACCCATTATTTCAGTGGGTTACCTGCGTATGCTTGGACAGTGCCTCACCCTGTCAACCCTGTGTCAGAGTAAAGTTTCTCACTGGCATTAGAGATTCACCAAAAACATTTGCCAATAATGACTCTGCCAGTCCATCTGATTAGACTGTTTCAAAAAAAAATTCAACCCTTTTTAAATAAATACTATAGTTACTAACGTGAGACTTGGATATTAAAAATTCAGATAAGCTTACCATATGCTAACAGCTGTCCAAACAGAGCTCAAGGTAGTTACTATACTTGCCTGTTTAAATTTCAAATCTTTCAGCCTGTGAACTCCATAAATTGTCCAGGATCCAGTCACAAAATCCAATCTCAGTACTAAAGGAAAGGTCTGTCTTTGCCAAATCACTTCTGCATTGTGATACGTTTTCCAGTATCCTACTTTCATTATATTTGTCATAAGCCACCTATATAAATAAGATTGGGTACATTTTATAAAAACATTCATCACAAAATCATTTCCTGAAAGAGCAACAAAAAAGGGCTGTTTAACTTTAAGAGTTTAATAGATGTAGGTATTGCACAAAAATAAGGTACTGATGAACAGATCTAATTCAAATATGTTACCTAGTTACTAATAAAAAAAAGGCAAGAAGTAATTAATTGTCATTGCTGTTTCCACTAAAGAAAAAATAACAGTTGATAAAATGTTAGGCTCTCCACCAAAAAAACACATACTTCCCTAATATTTCAGATACAGTACTGTATACTGTATTAAGCAATTAACTGGGGCTCAAATAAGAAAATTCTGTTTTAGTGCTTTTTATTTTTTAGACAAAGTGATTGGCCAAAGGTACCTCATTGATCCACTTTTCCACACCCATTTTCAGTAGACGCAGTTTGTAGATGCTCAGCACAAAAGATGACTTCCTAATTAAAATTAAAAATAGCTCTGTAAAAATATGCATTTAATAAGACATCAAACGGTTCAGATCAGTCCTTGGTTTGTGGTGGAAAGGGGTTCTTATTATTATATACTGTTTGACTATGCCTTAAAACAAATTTCCCCAAAGGGAATAATAAAGCTTAAACCTTGAACTGAAATTGTTTTGTAGAGAGAGAAAAACACTGCTTGTTAGATACACACAGCCAAGGCATAGGTCAACACCACAGAATGTTACCACTTTGTAATTGACTAGAGCTCTGTACTCTTAACACAGCAACACACGTCACTACAAGCAAACATACCTAACATGGAGACAACCCAGGCTGCACAAAGTCAGAGCTGGAACTCAGCCCTGGGGTACTCTTAAAACAGCAACAATAGAGAGAAAAAAAAGTGTTCAACTTTGTGTTAACACTTATGTATTCATACTCTAAAAAGACACAAAAGATTTTGTGAAGAGTAATAATAAATTTCTACTCTGTGTTTCAGATGCTTTGTTATTATTGGAATATTTCTGCTAAAAATAAAGCTTAGGAAAGATAAAGACACCATTTCGCTGGGCTGGGGCTACTGAGACTTACACTAAAACCAGTGTTTGTTTGCTTTATTTCTGTCCAAATAGGGGTAGTGACTGAATCTGTATAAAATAAAATAAATCAGGGTTTTACTGACATCATTGTATAATACCATAGTCTTTTCCGATTATGGATTTAATTCTAAGTTCTTGAACACAACCCTTGATCAAAAAAAAAGTGAATTTTTCATTACTTAAACTGCAGAGGTTTCAATATACCTATAAAATGTTATGGTTTAAATCACCTAGAAAACTGAATGAGGCTTGAATGGATTGTTTAGAGATTTTTGTGTTTTAAAAAAATGAACCTACTGTGGAAAATCAGTAAGCTTTTGTTGACAGGAACAAATCGCAAAATTCACAAAACTTACCTGCATGTGTCAGATGAAGTTACTTGGTAAAAGGGATATACGTCTCCAGTGCTTTCACTTAACCTACAGGGAAGCAGTTATCAGCAAGGGCACTGATGACATTTTGAGGGCATCTGAATCAAACATCTTCCTCTTTTTGCATCCCATGTCTTGTTTCAAAGAGCATGCTGTCCCATGTTCTGCACATGTTTCGCAAGATGGCAGGATCTTTTTTTGTTTCTGTTTGGTGTTAGCCTTCATTTGCTTGATTAGAAACATTTAATGGCTGGAAAAAGGGTTCATAGCAAGTAGCTTTTTAGTCTGTCATAATGTTTAAATCACCAGCCTAAAACGGCTGTTAAAACACGTGAATTATATCCAGATAAGACAGTAATTCATTTGAGATCATTTGAGAATGGACCTATTTGCATTTCAATTGAATTGCACACAAGAGAAAATGTGTTTTTCTTTTCATTCTCTTACACCAATGAAATATAGAATCAAATGAGAAATGATTCCCTTTGGTAGCACAGGACACAACAGAAGCTTCTGACTTCCAGGACTTCCACTGTAATCAACATCTGGTCTGAATCATTGAGAGCCCCAGGTGGAACAACAACTTAACCTGATCTGCAATAAAACCATTGTACAGTCCCGGTCCTGGAAGGTCTCAGTGCCTGCACGTGTTTCATTTCACCTCTGGTCTTACTGACCTAATAGAGCTTTAAGCATTGATTTACACATTAGAGGTCTTCAACTGTTAATCATTGAAAGACACCTAGGAAATCTTCTGTTCCTCAAGGACTAAAGCCGTTCATTTTTGGTGCAGAACAGAGATGTCCATTCTTCAGTCTGTTTGGGGATTTTCATTCCAATTGTTTACAACATCAGTTAGCTCATTGTTGGTTTAAATTGGACTAATTTAACAACATAAGGCTCTTCGGGTGCTGATACTTTCAAGAGTCCAAGAAAACGTGCAGATACACCAAGTTGGCCAGACCAGGACTGGACATCCCCTATTGTAGAGGGTCATTTGTAGAACATACAGGGTGGCATTGAACACTGAAGACCACTGGCTTTTGTATTAAGGAGTTCTCGTACAAATCTGACATGCATCAAAAATACATCTACAATTTGATCACTGTAAGTTAGGATGTAAGAAGTTCTGTTTTAATTATTGTGCTGCCTTTCCTCCCAGTCTCGTTTGCCCAGGTGGAATGAATGCTTGCGGTTTTCTGCTGTTATACAGTAATAAAAAATTAAATGTACTGCACTGAGGAAAGACATATGCAGATTTATATGACATAATATAAAGATTATGCTGTAAAGAATTTTAAGTCGTCCTATTTATAATGTATAATGAGTCTTTTTAGGAATATCTTTCTGTTGCCATATTTGAGTCGAACTTAATGTGTTTATTTTGGGTCCTAGGAAGTGTATTTTGTTTGACATCTATGTCTTGTAAATGAGTAAACGTATAATGTGCTTGTAGGTAATTCATTTTTTGAAGTCTGTTTTTTTTACAGTTTGTTAAAAAAATAAAGTTGCATTTTTGGAAAACATTTCTCTTTCTGTTTGTCTGAGCTACTGTGAGGCCAATTATGTTCCATGTAAAATGGTAATCCACTTTATTGATAGATTCCTTCTACGGGGATAACTTTTCAAAACTGGGCATACTAATTGCAGCAGTAATTGTAATTAATGTATTCTAGTTTTCCAAAAAAAACTCAACTATCCTTAATATCAGAATATCATTGATTGCATTTTAAATGCAGAAATAATTGTAATTAATGTCTTTCAGAGTTCTACAACAGCAATTTCGTTATATCTCAGTCTTTATGATTAAATCTCAACTGAGAGATATACTCAAGATGCATCCAAAGTGATCTGGCTGTTAGTGTTCAGTAACAGTAAACTCATATAGCCTTGATAATGTTCTTATGGCTCTCTTCACAATATCACAATATCACAAGGAGGGGGACATGCAAAATTATTGGAGACTGGTCATTGAGACTTTAGCTTCTTTCAAAATTTGATCGGAATCTTTTTTAGCTTTGTATAGTATTTTGTATAAAATAGCCTAACACTTCGCAGCTGTACATACAGTATAGTGAGTGGGCATTATGGAGGTGTAGTGTTTAGCACTGCTGCCTCACAGATCTGGTATACCTCACAGTTTGTATGCTCTACCCTTGCTCATGTAGTTATTCTCTGAGTGCTTTGGTTTTTTCCCCACATTTACAGACATGCTGGTTAGATTAAATGGGGTCCCTAAACTGTGTGTGATACCACAGCCAAAAAAAAAAAACAAGGCCATGGCTCTCAAAATACGGTGAATTGAATAGGTACTATTCAAGTAGGTAGCTCAAGTAGGTAGCTGCGTCAGCATGCATAGGCAGCAAAGGTTTATTCCATGCTGAAAAGAGAAGAAAAGAAACACAATGTTTTGGCTGTGGAGTTGTCCTCGGGCGCCACACCTGAAGAGGGCTCCGCAGCCAAAACGTGCTTATTTTCTTCTCTTTTCAGCATGCAATGAATTAGTATAAGGGAGTTACAATATAGTTCTCCACCTGTTGGCTCAGCTCCTTGCCTCCACTAAATGCAGTGGAGTGGAGTCTTCTTTGCCTTTTTCTCCTCTGAGCACTCCCCACTACTTCTTTTCCCCCAAACAACTAACGCAGGACACGGACACAGATTCCATCACAGCTCTGATTCGCTGGTTGCTATTTAAACCTGAAGCAAGTGGAGCTCTGAAATGCGGACAAAAGGAAAGGCACACACTCCTGGTCAGCATATCGCAGGTCAGACAAACAGGACAAAGACTATGTTTGTGTGTGTCAGCTGGTCTTACAGTATGTCTGTTGCTTAGTTTGCCTTCTCCTTCTCCATCTCCACAAGCCCTTTGTCTGCTGGCAATGAAGAGCATGCCGATAACATGGGATTCAATATTTAGGTACTGTATGGTTTTTGAGCTCTTCTGTCATGCTTGAACAGGTTTGCGTGACATCACACTGTGCCTGTTTGCCTGAGTCTCCCATTACGGGTGTAGTCCTGTCTTGCACTCTGTGCTTTGACACACTCCCATGTGTCAAACACGGAAACACACTTCCATGGTGTTTCTGTGACCCTCACCAGCAATAAGCAGTTTATGGATGGATGGTCACATACTGAAATCTTTCTGTATGTGCTTCAAAGAATTGAAACTGTTCTTGGTGTACTTAGAACATAAAAATGTTACAAACTCAGCCCATTTGGGCTGTAATGTGGTAGATAATGGATCCAAGGATCTCATTCAGCCATTTGTTTGACAGAAGCCAAAAGCTTGGCTCCAACCACATATGACATATTGATGTTGATTTTATAATCCATTTTGAAATCAAGTCATAAAAGCTTTCTTCCTTTATTATTTGAGCAGTGTGTAAACAGTGCAAAATAGAGATTATCCATTGCATATAGGTAGTTGAAATACAAAACCCAACTTTTCCTTATAACATTCTACATAGATATGACACTTAGAAGCTCTTCAATAAATGGTCACACATCTGTGGTCTTACATTATTAATAGCAAATGTGACATCCCACTTATGTACTGTACGAATGTTGTACAAATGTACTTAGCATATTTCTCCAAAGTTGTTACCATGCAACCCCAGTTGTAAACCACACAAATAATACTACATGATTTCTTTAATGCTGTTTAATTTTGCTGTGGTCAGCACAGGGGCGAGATGAATCCAGCACCAGCCTGGATTCTGAAATATAGTTATTAAAAAAAACATAAAATAACAGGAAACCTTTTATTGAGTTTATTGAATACTTATTTTATTTTCATGTTTATTAAATGAAACAACTATGAAAACAGTGATCATTATCATTTTTGCCAGGCAATAACTGACAACAGTTTTATCTGCAAGCAAGAATGCCTTTAGGGAGATATACTCACAAACTAAGATAAAAGAGTGTTAAACTGATGTTACGAATATTTAATTATGTGCACAAGACATCCCCTTGCACAACACTCGAGCAGTTACTGCCATAACTTTAAAAGCACAAGTAGTTTTCAAGGTCCGTGCTGGTGTCACTTTCTATAGGTTAAGCTCATGACATGTTGACTGTGCCTGTTGACTGCACACTGAATGTTGGTGTGCAAGCTCTAACCACTACTGTGTATTGCCCTGTGTATGGCCAGTGATTGCTTAAGATGACCAGGCTCTTGACTAAAAGAAGTCAATAGACTTCTTTAATTTTGGATGACTTAAAATGTAGCTCCCACAGTTTGCTTACTGTTTTGTTATTATGGTTTGTTTCGCATTAACTTAGCCAATCTCCTTTGTGTTGCCAATCCGTCCTCTTTATCTGAAGAAAGTCTGTTCTTTTAGTAACAGAAGTGAGGACTTACATCTTAAAACCGTCTAGTTTATTTTTTTGTAGTTTAGACTGATACTATTAACTTCTACTCAAACACCTTAAACAAAAAGTAAATGCATGTATTTAAGGAGCCCCCAAAATGATTTTGATGTTGTAGAATTCCAGGAGTCGAAGTGGTTAATAAGACAATCAGATGCTGTAGGACAATCTCTTCTGGTTTTTACTCCAGCCAAGAGTCAAATCACAGGCTTGTTTGGACAAGGTCCAAATGGGATATGTGACTGGTATCAACCCTGGACCAATGTCAACACACTTAGGACACTAGGTGTCCTAGAGCAGTGATCTCCAGGCCAAGGAAGCACAAGTCCCATATCTCTGTCAAACAGAACTTCTTGATGTTATAACCCCCCGACCTAAACCTCCACCAGCCCCCTCCCCAGCAGGAGCTGTAGCTGACCAACCACAGCAACGTTACACTCCAGTTGCTGTCCAGTGTCTTTGCTCATTCCATAGGGCTACAGGCAGACAGCCCTGTTGGATTAGGGAGTTGGAGGTCAATGACAGCTCAGAATCACATCTCCCAGTGGCTGTTGGGATACTCAGTGTATCGCCCACTAATGCTACATCTACTGTTTGCAAGCTCAGAAGAAGTTAGGAAAGCGCTGCATTTGCTCTTGCTCTTTTATAGCAAGGTTGGGAAGGTTCAGTGTGAGCTTTGTATCTTAGCCAGTAGCAGTTCACACAGACCAAAGCAAACAACCACCCCCAGAGCTAACAGTGGTTTCTGCACTAGAATTGAGGTTCCCAGCAAGGAGACCTACTGTGGAGTCTGTTCTAACAACTACCACAACACTAAACACACTAGGAGTGTCAAAACTGGACATTATTTTCTTATAAACAGAGTTCTCACAATGCTCTTATGTTCTCCAGTGTAGTGATTGAATGCCATAATATAAATTATTAATTAGAATATTATATTATCAAGAATATTCTATCAGTTTTTTCATTTTTTAAAAGTACACAATTACTGCATATTCAAAGCATTGTAAACGTTAAAAAAGATAAAGCACGGAAACATACCAGGCATTAAAAGCGGAGATAAATGAGAAACAGTTTTAAGTTAATTTGGTTCTTCAGCGGCACTTAACATCTGGTGGTTTCACAAAGACCATTTCTCGTGTCTACAAAGAGACAAATATAAGTAGTCTGACATGTCTTGCACACCTGCATTTCTGAACTCAAGGAAATCTCGACCACAGTTCAAATACTTGTCAGAAACCGAAAGATAAATTAGACTAATTAAACCTGTATATAGTTAGTCGTTTTTTCTATTTAAATACTGTATGCTTTACTGTAGAGATAAAGGTTTATTACACTAAAGCTAAAGCAATGTATGATATTAAAACAAACACAGTAGGAATATTGTATGTTTGGAGAATTTACCAACTTGAACATTTCAAGCTGTGAATTCCGCAGGCAGAGATGTTTAGAATATTAGGTTTTGGTCGAGTCTTATAGTCCTTGCTAAGGAAACTTAAGAGTCTGGTTTCGGTGTTTTTTTAATATATATATTATATTCATAAATAAAATGAGAGATACTGTAACGTTTTGTGAAAAACGACACCCATGCCCTTCTCTCAATCGAGTCTGAGTTTAATGTTAGAATGTAAAATAACTTCAAAAGATGAAAATCCCAACATGGCGTTTTATTTAATTTTTGCTAGCAGTTATTGTAAGCACTAGGTAAAAATATCCTTCACCGACATTCTGTTTATATTTGCTTCTTTTTAGCTTAGATTTATATTTAATTAATTTATATTAAAGAGGAAATAAAAGGAAACCAATGTTCCAAAGGCTTTTAATTGCCGCTTCAAATATAGGTGCACCATGTTGCACTATTCATGAGTCCCTTTTAAGAATATAATGAAGAAAAACAATCAAGATTGTTTACTATTCAGGGTAACATCAAATTTCTTATACTGGATGTGCATTACATTTCTTAAGAGTGGAACTTGCAGGTCAAATACAGTGTATCCCTCCATCAAGCTTCATGGGTTTTAAAAGATGAGAAGAGTAGAATCCTGTACGGGACTCATTTCTCCTAGTTTTAATAACTAGAAAACAGTACTAAGTAATCTTTCTTTTAAATACAGTGAGGTACAGTACAGTGGAAAATTGTACAAACAAACGTGGGTATTTCTTAATGCACATTTAACAAGTGTTGTGATGAGATCAATAACCATTGTTATTGCTGATGAATCTCCATTTATTGCAAATTATTGTTGTAAATTAGAATGTAAGTCATATTTAGACCACTCAGCGCTGATTGCCTACAGTATGTGGTTTGGCGGTTAGTAGCGCTGTTTCGTCGAGTTGGCATGTTCTTCTCGCGTTCGAGTGATAATTTCTGTTTTACCCGTATTTTCCGTGGGTGCTTCCCTTTTGTCTCAACTTCCAAAGCCTTGTCGATTAGATTACTTGCGTGCATGACCGGCGATGGACTGTCAAACTATGCAAAGCGTGTTCTTGCCTTGAGGCTTAGGTTCGGTATTTGCCGGGTTGCCATCGGACTTTCTGATAGTAATGGATGGGCGGATTATCAGAGTGTACTGAATGATAAAACAGACAGAATCATATGCTTTTAGATGTGAGAGTGATGAAGGCGCACGCAGAGCTTTCTTTTTCTCCAGAAACATTCAGTCAAAAAGGGCTGAAAGTACAGACATATTAGCAGAATCCACCAGCATTTTCTAAAACTTTTCAGAGCCTCGGCGCATGTCTTCCCTTCAGTAAACTAACTTTTACAAAGGAGCCCCAAGCAATAATCCAATCCATTGTCTACGACCACACGTTATTTAAATTACGGAGTGGTTTTAGACAGTTGTGAAAGTGACTTCCAAACCATCTGAACGAACAAAATAAATAATGCAAACAAAAGACGCGTTTTCACTCTAATACAGAGGTGTTCGTCTCGGCAAGCAATATTTATTTTTTTTAACAGTAGAAATGTTAAGTTTCTAGTTAACTATATTTTGTTTTTGATTAAGAATTTTAATTTATTCGTTCTATTTCAAGAAACTCGTCAAAACGAAATTGTACCTCATTTACGGTCTCCCAACTTGCTTTACAGGAACGGCGGGGAGGGAGAGAAGGGGCGTGGGAGACGGAGGGAGGGACTGGGAGTAGCACCCTAGTTATTTTAAATTTTGCATTCATGTCTCACGACAGTTTCCACTATGTGCTGTTTGAATTGGAGATTACTTGTATTGGCATAGTTACTCGTGGATATGTGGAGAAAGACTACATAGAACTGCTGAAGCATTTTGAGGTTGGTAAAATGATAAAATGAGACATTAAGTTTCAGCTGCAAAGAGAAAGTATGATCCATCGTTGCTTTCGGCTGAAAAACAGAGCCGATTATAGTCATACTTCGGATTTGAACACGCCCTGCGGATTCTGTTTCTATACCTCCACCTGGCTGACTCATTATCACAACGAGTTGTTGCGACAATGCGGAAACTTGTCAAAAGCGGTATCTGACAGTATGCTGTCTATACGGAGCCCATACGCAGCCTTTTTCTTACACTTCAAGTACTTTAATCGCTCGTAACTGCAGTATTATGCGCTAATTGTGCTTAAAACTTTATCAGGTAACTTGAAAAAAGCGTATTGTCAACATGTCGTGTACTTTTGGGAGACTGTTTCTGTTGGTTTCCTTCTGGACAAATGTTGCCTGGACCGAAGACCGCACAGGTAAGTGATCTGATTTTGGTTTGTTTCGCTTTAGTTTGTCTCTGTTGGAGTAAAATAATAACTTGTTCCGTTTCATTAACCTAGAGAAAATATGCATGATTGGAAATGCCCACCATTGACACACACAGTGATTCCTGAAACTAACGTCAGCGCCTGAGTCATTTATTAGAATTACGTGCGCGGCTCTTTAGGCGTAGAGTTCTGTATTTCTGTAAATAAGAGACCGCTTGCGTTTGTGAATGTTTAGACAACTCTTTCTAGTTATGTTTGATAGTTACCTAGTGAAACTATCATATATTTAATTTGTAAACATTGCTTTCGAGGGATATGAGTAATCTTAAGGGGATACGTGGAGTGTATTTTAAAATGATTATATTTAGAAATGCTACTTTAAATGACTGCCCCAATATCCTTCAGGTTATAGACGACTATAAAGCACAAGCAACTACTGTTTTTCCTCACTTTTATTTACTCAAGTTTAGGAAAGTTATAATTTTATTTCTATCTGGTGGACGCTTCTTCAGAAAATAAATCTAAAAATCAATCCCGTCGACAGAGAAAGTTGTTGTAGATAAAGCCGCTGTTAAATTAGAGCAGATCGACAGGTTTCCAAGTCCTTCCTTGGTTGTGCCAGAGCCATTCCACTGTTGTGACAGTGTTTATTTTAAACGCCTCCAGATTTGTCCAACAATCAATGTTTAACAGGCATAAGAGGGTCTTTGAATAGAATGAAGCAAGGTACTGTATTAGGAAAATCTAGATATCTGATTTTTCTCTACGATCCCTACCTTAATTACAGCTGAAGAATCCACCGTTTCCCTTTCAAGATTTCTGTGGCTTTGGGAAGTGACTGTGTGGTGCAGTGTAGCCAATTGGCCTATAATCCCCCCAACTCTCCGGAACGTTTATCTAAATGGGATTGGATCTTAGCCTCACGTCTATAATGTAGTAAACATGACTTATATCCTCATAATTTCCCTTTACCATAAAAATGGGGTTGGGTGTTAGCCTCCAATTTGCACAAAAGACTAACATCGTCAAAATGGACTTTAACTATAAAAATCTTTCAATACATTGTGATGTTTTGGTTCAGCAGACAGCTGGACTGATGTGCTTTTAGATTACTCTTGTGATGAATTGACAAGGTGCTGTGTGAGATAGTGGTATTAGTATAAACTACAGAATTCCTATCGTTTACATTAAAGTGATTAAGCGTGGTTGAGGTCTGTCAGAAGTTTCCCACACTGGTCTTTGATAATTTCACATGAATCCTTCAATTCCATAAATCACAAATGATTTAGATTAAAAATCAGGACATTCCTCAGCCCTGAAGGATCACAGTATTTTTAACCAAATGATTGTGTTTATTTTAGCAACAATTTCTAGTCTTTAAAACCAGGAGTTTTAAGGTGACCTATAAAACTACCTTTACTCATGCTCTCCCAGTACCCCTGCACTCTTTATTTCAATATTTTATACAAAACAAAGGAATTCAACCCCCCCCCCCCCCCAGAAAGTTTTAAAAAGCTCTCAGCCTGCCTGTTTTGTGATTCACTTTTTTCCATTAAAAAAGATTGGTTTATAAAGGTGGACAATAACATTTCTGTAGTTTACCATTTAGCTAGTAATGTTTTGCATCATAGTGGACTCTGTATGCTTAAAATCTAACAAAACATAGCTTTAAATAGCTCATGAGACAGTATTGTTTGTATAATCAAATCATTGTGGGAAAAGTTGTCTTGGTGATGGGATAGGTTTAGCACCACAATCCAGTATATGCTTTGATTTTAATAAGTATTTTTGCACATGGTGCTGAGGATTTGTGGCAGTGGTCAGCGTTGTCTTGAATATTGCTCACTGTACTGAAAATCCATGGAAAGTGTCACCTTACGTTAACCAGGAAAGTGGGTGGAAACAGCAGTAAAGAACTCCAATCAGAAATGTGGCCTTCTGCTTCACCTGAAACAATTGGGCCAGACTCTCTTTTCTCTTTTTCTGTACAGTGCAATGGATCTCGGCTTTGACTCCAGGATAGGTAGATTGTTCATAGATACCAGTGCATCAACAGTGAATCCTAAGCTTTTCTATTCTATTACATCTGACAACTTCCATATAATAATAATAATAATAATAATAACAATAACAATAATAATTGCTTACACTTATAGCGCTTTTCTGGACACCCCACTCAAAGTGCTTTACAGGTAATGGGGACTCCCCTCCACCACCACCAATGTGCAGTATCCACCTGGATGATGCGACGGCAGCCAAAGTGCGCCAGAACACTCACCACACATCAGCTCTCAGTGGGGAGGAGAGCAGAGTTATGAAGCCAATTCATACTGTAGATGGGGATTATTAGGAGGCCATGATTGGTAAGGGCCAATGGGAAATTTGGCCAGGACGCCGGGGTTACACCCCTACTCTTTTCAAGAAACACCCTGGGATTTTTAATGACCACAGAGAGTCAGGACCTCAGTTTTGTGTCTCATCCGAAGAACAAGGAGAGAACCATATATCTTGGTTCTCTCAGAAACTATTATTCTGGCCTCGCACCAGACATCCATGAAATAAGCCAGGGAAAGCTGGGAAAACGCTTTTATTTTTATTATTTCTTTATAGAGCAGTGCATCCAAGGTCATAACTAGGGTGGTTGAGCAAGGCAACTGTCCAGGTTACAAAACCATGGAGGTTTTATTTATTGGAATAAAATTAAGAGCAAATGATCCCTGCATTATAAAAACGATTAATTAGAAATCCCATTGCTGTTGTAGTGTTGAAATATGCATATTCTAGGTTTTGTGTGTTTAATTTGTTATTAATTTTCTTTTTAGTTTCAAAATAACTCACAATCCTGTGTGGTCAAATAAACATATTTGGAATATTTAGTGTTGCTTATCCCAATAGCTCTGTGTGTTTATGTTTACTTTCCCTGTAGAGTCTTGACAACAAAGGTTTGGTAAATTAAAACTGGTTATCTAATAGCTGGGGTCACCTCTCTAGTAAGTATCTCCACCTATCGCACTTTGACCAGCTCAATAAATGTCAATGCTGTAATAGAGTAGTTTGCAAGTGTAAAGGAGAGTAAATAGGCCACCCTAGCTATAGAAGTATTTTACTACTCTTTTTCATCCAGTATTTCTTTATCTATATTTTGAACACTAACATTTTTAACATTTAATTGCACAGAAACATGATTGTGTCTTGTTGACAAAACTTCCTAGCTTTAAGACAGTGCAGTATCTTTGCTTGGGTTACAGTTATGTTAAATAGATCTCTCTGACCATCTGTTATCTATGGCTGCTTCATCTTATGAAGGGTTGCAGCAGGCAAACCAGTCAATTAACATAAAGAGTGTACAGTATAGGAGCTACTGCACACATTTTAAGAATTTTATAAAAGTTAACCTGGTGGCTAAAATATTCCTAATAGTAGGATTGCTAGAATGCCACAAAAATATGTAATTGCTACTTTAAATTTTAATTTAAGAAAATATGTGAGAAATGAAAAATATACTGTCTACATCCTTCAAAGAACCATCAATATTTCCTTCTTCCTGATATCACTTAAAAACTGGAACCACAACTATACTTGCCTGCTCTGAAATGTCTTTGAAATGCTTTGCTAAAGCTTCTACATGAATCCCTATGTGTTTGTGCTTAAAAACAGAACTGTCCACTGGATTATTAATTATTATAAGGTCCACCCAATTTCTTTTTCCATGCTGGAAAGGAAAGATGTACTGAAAAGCATTGACGTTTCCTTCAGGTGTTTTAGAGTTTTGGTCTTGTTTTCTCACACTAATCCCTAATGCCCAAACTGTTAAGATTACATCACTGGTTTATTAAGAGACTTGTAAATATTTACAACTTAAGGCATTAACTACTGGCTAATATACAACAAAATCATTCTGTATCTAGAGTGGCTAAAAAGCTAAATGCATCTAAGTAAAACATGTCCTCCATCTCGTAGGGAAAACAAGCACATGATGTGTGATGTATTCACTGATTTAATCACTTAGAAACCTTTGATACTGAGCTACAAGAATGGGCTCTTCTAAACCTCCTAGCTGCAGAACATAAATTATTTAGTCAAGCAGATATTGTACAATTGCATTAATTGGTGTTTTATTTTGCTGATGTTTGACACATGTATAGGGTTTAGTATTTACTTTTTTGTCCCTTTAACCTTGCCTTTTGCTGATTCTGCTTCCCGATTAAAAACACTAAAACTGTACTTATTATGGAAGGTAGCTGCTTTTCAAATCGCATTACAGCTGCTGTGTTAGTCTTACCATGCAGAGTTGACAGGTGATGCTGATTACCAATGCCTCCAAATTCAGTCCCCCCAGTGGGTTGGGTGTTTAGAGTTGCACATTGATTTTTTTGCCAGTTGTTTAAGAAAATGTCTCATCCATATTCTTTGTGCCATTGTGCTGTGTGCAATGATCGCAACTATGATATTTTAAATAATTACAGTTAGTAATGGTAAAGCAACGTTCCGTACTTAGAGGGTAATGAGCAAGATAAGTTAAACTGGCATCTAGTAGAGACACAATGGCTGCTAATTGTATTTTAAAAGGAGGTATGTCATTGTAACATACAGTAAACACTACAAATAATGTATTATAGAATAATGTATTTTTATATTACCCATTCTATGTATTGGTGGTGCCTAGTATTTCAATTGATTTGTACGGCTCACTTGAAGTACATTCACATCATTTCTGGCTACCACAGCAAATGAGCTTGACTCCACTGAATTAGTCCTTCCGGAGTCGATGATGGCTCGTTAGGTTATCGGGATTGCAAAACCCGTCTCTACACATGTCTGTTGAAATGGATGTTTCTAGGCCACATTTATGGCAATTGTAAAGGGTGCATTTACATTCTGTCTTGAAATTAATTCTTAGATCTTTTTAAATCCGCCAGTGGAGTGCTCAGATTGAACAAAAGCCACTGTCAAATGCGCAGTTAGGGTACTTGGCAACCTTTTCATTTCTGGAAGTGAAATGGGGGCACTAGCAGACCCCTGAAGGCCAGCATCCTTCAGGATGTTTTTCGATTAGCCACTAGTTGAGACTTAACACCTTTTACAAGTGCCAGTTGAAACATTGGTGTATTGCAAAACCTCATATAGCACCTAAAGTGTTCTTACATGTCTGTAATTGGAGCCATAACTATTATGGAATAACTCTAAAGACAAAAACACTTTTGTCCCTGAAGTGCGAAAATCCCAAAGAACCAACAATATTCATAATGAATTGCATTTATAGAGCATTTTTCATCCCCCAGCACTTTACGCACTGGGGGGAGCCAAACCATTGTCTGATCACTGAATTGTAGTGCCTCATAAGGGAAATGCATGGCAGCCTTTCTGCACCAGAATCCCCTGCATAGCTCCACAGAGCTGCACTGCACATCAGGTGGAGAAGTTGAGTTTACCGATTGAGTTCAAGGTGTTAATGTGGTCTGAGGTTGGATCCAGGTAAAGGTTCAATAAGGAAGCAGGCAGGCAAAAACATTATCTAGAAATCGAAGCAAGGAATAGGTGGAGATCAAAATGAGTACCACAGGTACCAGTCGAAACCAGTTCAGGAGCAATCCAGGAAAACAAACACGATCAAGACACGGAAGGTGGGAGACTTGATACCTCTAAGACCAGTAGCTAGATTGAATTATTGTGATAATTCTAGTTGTCTTTATTCGTTAGTTTAGTTCTCTTCACACCAAACAGGTTCGATAGCTTAAGACAGTGCTTAAAACATTGCAAAATTTGTCTGCCAATAAAATGACAGCATTGCTTTCTTCTAGGAAATGGAGAGAATATTATGACAAAATATGTTCGGAAAGAAACAAACAGTGGATCTATGCCTACCTTTTTTTAGTTACCCATTTTTAACTACAGTATTTTTAAGTGCACCTTTTCTTCTGTGGTCTTAGTCACTTTTGTTCTCCAATTCACAATTATGATGTTGGCCCTCAGTGAAATCATAATCTTTACAATGCATTTTAAAGCTCTTGTGGTTTCAAAGTATGTTCAATGATCAGATCTGTACCAAATTGTGAAAATCCAAAAGCTTGTTTTTGGCTTTGCGTTGTTTACAGTATTTACAGTGTACCAGTTTTTTCTAATACACTCAAAAAATGCAAAATTTTACTTTAAGACATTTGACCACCTTATGGTCGGGTAATTTTGATTAATCGGTTCTTGGATGCAATTCTGGACTGTTTATTTGTCAAACACCTTAGCCATTCTTAGATGGATTGGCCAGTCTTTAATAAGAAGAAACAGACCTGATTGAAAAATAATTTATACTTGATAGTAAACTCTTGTACAGTTATGTAGGATCGAAACTACCTTACCCACTACTGAAGTGCATCACCTACAGTATGTGGGTGATGTACTGTGGTCATTCTGCAATACCATCTCCACTACACAGCTAATTAGGGACAGAAGAGAAGTGAGAAACGGCTTCAGTTGCATTGAGGGGGATTTTAGAGTGGAATTTATTCAGGACACAGAATGGTGAAGAACTTCTAACCCAGTGCTATTTTTTGAGAGACACTGTAATATGTATATATTCTGTGAAGTAGTGGACTAACCAAACCTATGAAACACGTGGCTCTCTGGTAAACCAGAAGAGTTTTAATTAGAGAGGAGTTGTACATTCAGCCCCAGCATGTGGAGAAGCAATGAAACACGCCAAGATGTCTCTGAATGTGATGTGGAGAATACAGTATATATTGAGTGGCATATTAGCCATCACAGTGGTCAGAACAGAGTCAAGCATGTACTGGGTCAACAACATGTACAGTACAGTATGTTGTCATCACATTATTTGAATGTAAATAATGATCAAGTAGTACACTTTTTGTATCAAACTTGCTGATACATTTGAAAAAAACAAACAAAAAGAGGACCCTCCCTCTCGCACAACAAAACAAATATGCACGTACTTCTGTTAAAATGAGGAACTTGGGGATCTTGGGACAAGTTTAACCTGATTATTTCCTTCCACCTTGTCTTGTTGCCTGATCTCTTCAAGGCTGATTTGCTTTTCCCTGTTCACAACCCAAGTCCTGGACTTTTAGTCGCGTTCCTCCCTCTTGAGTTCCCTACCTGATGAAAGGGTCATTTTTGCCTAAAATCCAAAACTAAGTATGCAAAATAGATGAAGATCTTTTTTTATAATCAATACCACCTACCACTTGCATGTATCATGTTTGTTTTTGGAAGTTCAGAAAGAAAACTGCTGGGATAAACCTTTTAAAAAGACTGGTATCATCCTTATTTCATATTTTTTTTGTTTTCAGAAAAATTCTTTCCCCCGAGCAAAGTGGAACTTTCAAGGAAGAGTGAGTTCTGCGTTGAGTTACGATGGAACCCACCTGTGAGCTTAGTTAACAACACCTGTAAAGTTTCTTATCAAGTGTATCAGAAAAAAAACGTAAGTTCTTGTTTCCATTTTTTAATTGGCATTTTAATTGTCCTCTTTATAAGTTCCTTTTCAGCGTGTCTGTTTTTTAAGGATGATAAAGACTGACACTAAGAGGATGCCTTTTTTAAACTAAGGGCAAGCCTCTGTCAGTTTCTTTAAAATACGTTTTAGTATTCAAAGTCAGAGTTTACAAGCCTCACAATAAACTTCACACAGAGATTTAAGACAAATCTCTGATGCACTGAAGACCACAAGAAATGCAACACACTTAGGTCGAATCAATTTTCATAAAATATTCTAGATATCGGGCAGTTACTGAAAATGTGAACCAATCCCACAATTCAAAGGTTTCATTCATTTTATCGTTATGTTGGTATGTGGAGTATTTCTTCCTGGAATGACATATACTGTAGCCAATGCAGTCTGACCATAATTCCCCAGACTGCTCATACAGATGTGACAGCCCTGGCCCATGACAGGTTACACCTAGAGCTAGTGTCACTGAAACATTTGCCGATTGTTGAAGAAAGAAATATCAATCTCCTGGCATCCTATTTCACAAATAGATGGCTTTCATGCCGTTAGTAATCAGGCAAACTTATTTACTGGAGCAGTGAGTGATCATACTTTTCATTGTTCTTAAAATGTCCTTTTAAATGTCTATATACTGTACAAGCACTGGTATGTTGTTTTTCTTAGAAAATCACATCTTGAGCTCAGGATTTTAGGTCAAGGGACAATACTACTCAAAAATAAAAAATCCTGTCCTGTTTACTATTTAATATATAAATAACATTATGTTTGTGCCCAGTAAGATAGTTATGTAAAACGTGGACTGGTAGTGTTTTTCATTGTGCTTCAGTATATATCTTAATCTGAGTGTGGTCTACTGAAGCTACTATCTGCAACTGAGTTAGCAGCTATTTAGTACAGGAATTTTCAATATTTTTTTATCTGCAAAACCTCTTTTCAAAAACACTTTATCCCCATTGTAACAATTATGATGAATTGGTCATGATAAAACACTGAAGATCTGCAGGTTAGCAAATGAACTGAAAGTATATCTCGGGTAAAATACTCCCCCTACCCATGACACCCCTCTCCACAGACAGTGCTGAGGATTGTCAGAAGATGTAGAGCTCATATTGCCAGTTACTTAATGGCAAAATCAGCTGTGTGAATGAATGTAATCATATGAATTTCCCAACAATACTGATTTCAGTCCACTTTCTTTGTAGGGGGAAAAATTGAATTATATTCGTTCAAAACTGAGCTTTGAAGAATGCCTGGATTTGAGCGATGGTGTTGAATATGGAATTCGAACTAAGTCAGAAGAATGTCCTTCTTGGAAGGAGAGTGACTGGGTTAAAGCCACAATTCCAACACCAGCAGGTAACAATGAACACAGCTCTGGAGAAAGCAGCACAAGTTCTACACAAGCTAACATTACACACTAGATCAGAACATAGAACAGTTTACAAACAAGAGGAGGCTGCTGGGCCCATCTGGCCTGTTTGGTAGTGGTTAATTGATCCAAGGGTTTCATCATGCCATTTCTTGAAAGAAACCAGGGTATTGACTTCAACAACATATCTGGGTAGCTTGTTCTAGTCTCCCACAGTCTTTTTGGTAACAAAGTGCTTCCTGTTGCACTCGCACACAGTCTCCTCTTCTGCTCACTGGTTTGTGTTCCACTGTTCATTTTGAAATTCATCAGACTTTTAAATAACAAGAGGGCCTGCAATACACTGGTCATGTAAGTGCATTCTGGTGTGCGCTGTCTTTTATCATGTCTGTTGTGTACCAGTCTTCATCGCTTCGTATTGCAGTGTTTGGATAGGAAGGCTACTGTAACTGTGTAAGCAGACTGTGCTGTCAGTGTTTACCTGGAGTATAGGGTCTCTTACAACCTTTTAAAAGATCAGCAATTCCGGATCATCATTTCTCCAGTTTTAGAATTTCTGCACTTACATCATAATTAAGGTGCTGAACTGTACAACTTGCTTGACTGTGGCCCAACAAAACTAGATTTGGAATCTCCTGGTCTATAGTCTTACTTTTCTACATACTGTACAGCAGTCAGCCCTGGTTGTTCTTGTTTTTTCTTTTCCTGAAGTGTTTACTCCATGGAATTCAGATTTTTTTTTTAAATATACCAGTTCAGATGTTTCAGGATTTGGAAAATGAGAAAGGTACTTTGGCAGTATCAGATGTACTGAACATTAGAATTGCTAATGTAAAATCGTGTTTGAAATGTTTATCTAAAATACTGTAAACTTTGTGTGCGTCCAAACTGTTCCAGCAGAAGTACCAGTTCCTTGGGCTGTCTGATTTTACAGTTTAAATTTAGCACCTTTGTGGGATCTAGTCCTCGTGTTCAAGATCATGAAGCACCTTTGAAAACACTATTGAACACAATCAGGTCTATTGTGATTTGTGGTGTGACTGGTGCAGTGGAGCTCCCATCTTTTTAAGCTTGCCTAGAAGAATTGCTCCTGGCTGTGTTTGTTAGATAGAAACAAACAACCAAACAAACAAAAATCTCCCATTTCCTGTGGCTGTGATAAAGCTGCTGCATCAGGACTGGACTGCAGTCCAACTGTCAAAGGTGGAGAGAGCAAAACCGTAAAGGACGATTCCCAAAATACTGAGCCCTGTAACACTGCTTGACTGTGTCTATGTCATAATTTCAGTTCCTTATAAATGGGTTTGCCATTTCATAGACTTTGTTTACATAGGGTAGAGATAAATTAAGATATACACACAAAACAGTTTCAGATTACAGTCAGTTCTTGTGTGAAAACAACTTTTCTTTTTGCAAGGCATCCTGCTAAACTCTTGTCTTTACTGTATGTGTCAACAACAGGTGACCCACAGACTGCAGTGAAAGGATTCCAGTGCTCCTTTTACATGCCTCAATTCCTGAACTGTACTTGGCACATAGACTCCGGAAAACATTCCAACTACCGCATGTATTACTGGTTTGTACTGAAGTTATTTTACTGACTTATGTCGAGTATGGGGAATTGAAAAGTATTACCTGTGAGGGCATGTTAAACCTGTTCCCTAACAACAAACGTTTCTTGCTTGAAACATTTATCATAGTGTACCAACAAACATAACAACACAGTAAAAACAGATTTGATTGCTTGAATACAGTATATTTAACCTGGAATTGCAATAACCATGGTGATGGTGTTTCAGTCTAGACTCAAATCTTTTTAAAACACTTGGATTGGGGAACAATATAGGACAAAGCTTATGTGTTTTTGTACTTTGTCAGCACTTTGTGAAGCCTCTGGTTTAATTTGTGGTTCAGTAATGTTTCCTTTATTGCAGGCTAAAAAATACATCACACACTCAGGAATGTAGTACTTACATTTATGATGGCAGTCTCCCGAAAGGATGCCACATACATAGTACATTTCTGGACCTGAAAGGAACCAATGATAACCAACTCTTCATTCTTGTTAATGGAACAGAGGGCTACCTTCCTGTGAAGCCCATGTACTTTGAAGTGAATCCATTACATAAAGGTATCTCTAACTGCATTTATTCTCAGATTATTCTTTTAAATTAGAGGGAATTATCTTTCAAGGGAATTCTGTGAGTTGAAGAAAAGATCTCAAACTAGTTTCATGTATAAAAAAATATAGAGTGTTGTCTGATATATCCTGTGTTTATACGTTGTGAGACAGACATACAAATTGTTCCGTGGGTATGAATGTACACAATTTCCCAAATCCAAAATACTTTTGTTAAATGAAGACTAAATACAAAATAGGAACAAGTAATAGGTTTATTCCATGCTGAAAAAAAGAAGAAAGAAAACACAATGTTTCGGCCATGGAGCCTTCAGACCTGAAGAAGGCTCCACGGCCGAAATGTTCTGTTTTCTTTCTTCCTTTTTTTTCAGCATGGAATAAACCTATTACTTGTTCCTTTGCAGGCTATGCATGCTGACGCAGCTACCCACCTGAACTAAATACAGGATAGACTTTGATTTTCTTTTTCATTGCTACTACAACTTTAGCAATATTTTTTGTGATGGTTTTTGTGATGATCACAAATGACAGAAAGTTCAACTTGCACTTTTTCAAAACGCCAGCAAGTGCTGAAAGCTTTTTGTCTGTGATGACGTTTCATTCACTCGCTCCCACTGCCATCAATGTTAAAGGCAGAAAAAAATATTTTTCTGAGATGGTGCCATTCTAAATAAGTTTGAACTTTTCTCTTTCACAGTTAAGCCAGAGCCTCCAAAGATGCACTTCATGCAGAAAGCGGACAAACTGAACATTCAGTGGGAGCCACCCAAAGGCTTCCAGGAACAGTGCTGGAAATACCAGCTCCAATATAAAGACAGCACAATGAAAGAATGGCAGGTAAGTTTCTGGATGACAGTAATTTCTATGTTTTCTGTATCTTTTTGCCAGGAAAACCAGCTCCCAGATTCTTCTCAAACCAGCTCCTTTTGTTTGATTGTATTGGTAAGCATTTGTAGTCTACAGTTGGGAAACCTGCTTTCCTTTCAGTGTGAGACATACACTAAGTAGTTCTCAGGATATTTTGTATGACAGAATGTTGTCTCTTTCTTATTCTAGCTGTCATTGTTGCACTGGTTTAGATGAAACAATGTGCAAATTATAAAGCTAATTAAGAATCCAAAAGCTACTACACAGAATGGGTTGGACATTGTAACATTCTGTGTATTTATAGCTGTTTGCAAAAGGCATTTCAAAAAAGCATTACAATCAACATTGTAAATGCTTGTATTAAAGACTTAGTTAATCGGATTATGCAAGTTCATTTTGGTCACTTCTCAGAAGCATAGATCAGCACGGTGATTCATTTTGGATGTTTATACATTTAAGATATAAAGGAAATGCAAAATTTGATGGCTATGGAAATTCTTGTAGACCTCAAAAGACCAATACAGAAACATTTTGAGACCAATAAGGATCCCTTCATTTGTACTGCGTGAGAAACCCATTGTAAATACAGGAGCATTGTAATTAAATTACTTATAAACTATTCTAAATGGTCAAGTATAAAAGGCATTGTGTAGTTTCTTTTAAGCAACAGGAATGAGCTCAAAATTCATGTTCAACGTTGACACATGGACATTCAGAATACTGTACATACCATGCACAGTATGAATTTTAGTCATTGTCAGGTGATGCTTCTTGTGCTAAAACCATTTTATTCAAAAGCATAAGTTATGGTGTGCAGCAAGTGTGCACAGGATGATGAGTGATATTAAAAGTTAAAGATATTGCTATCCTTGCTTTCAGACCCAATGTTTGAAATGGATCAATTGTACAGTACCTGTGTAAACGCAAAGGTCCTGTCCTCTAATCCGTTCTTTATTTTCTTGTGCTGTTTATGTTTTAACGATAGAAATGTTTTCTTTGATAAATAAGTAATGAAATCTAAAATTATATCATGATTTGTTTTACACTCCAAGTCACACAGACACAACTATAAAATAGTGCTTTTGTTATATATTATAGTGTAGGATTAGCAGTACATAATCAGTATTCCTAACATAAATTCAGTAAGAAATCTAAATGTGTTTTAGGACATGTTTTCAAACGATAAAACAGAAGAGTCTATCTCCTATGATCCACGATATAAATACACCTTGAAAATGCGAGCAGTCTACAAAACTGAATGTGGAGAGGGCTCCAGTGAGTGGACTGAAGAGGAAGAGTATGGTAAGTTTTTAAATGGGTGCAGTCCCTTTTTTTGGACAGATATAATAATAAAAAAACAACTAAGATAGCACATTAAAAAGTAACATCTTAAAGTCTTTCTTTTGTTGGAAAAGAAAAGAAAACACTTGATAAAAATAACAAATGCCAAAATAAGCGCCTATAAGAAACACCTTAGAAGCCCTTAGAACTAAGATGGAAAATAAATTGTCATTAGAAAATGAAGCAGGCACAGACACCAATTAAATAAGAGCTTCTCTAGGAAGAAAGCTTTTGAGGCTGGATTTGAATAAACTCAGTGTACTGTAGGTGTCTCTCTGATATCCTTGGCAGCAGAGCTTTGGGGCTTTTTAAGAGAAGAGCCCAGTCACCCATAGGATGCACATGGGCTTGGGGCACAAACAGCAGACTAGAGTCTGACTGAAGAAGCTTGCAAGTTAGGGAGTAGGCAGATAATACATGCTGAGGTGCCAAGCTATGTACTGTAGAGACTTACTGGTTGAGCATGAGGATTTTAATATAAACTCAAAACTTGATAAGACACCAGTGCAATAACTCTTAAGCAGGTGTCATGTGATTATTTGCACGTGACCAGGTCAGGATTCTGGCTGCTGAATTCTGAACATATTGAAGTTTAATCAATGTGGATTTAGATGTCCCAGCAGGTAGGGTGGTGAAAGTAATCAATTCTGAAAAAGATAAAAGTATTGATCAGCTTTTCTGATACAGTTCAAGACAACAAATGGCATAGTCTGGCAATATTTCTGAGGTGATAGAATGATGCTTTTACAATATTTTGCACATAAGGATAAAAAGTAAAACCAGGATAAACAATCACCCCTAAATTCTTAAACCTTTATGGAAATTGAAGCACAGGATTAATGCAGGATTACTGTATTAGTTTTTTGTAGGCGATGGGAGGTGGTAAGTAGCACAAACTCAGTTTTGTGACAATTTCAATGAGGGGAAATTTTGAGTCATCCAGGTTTTTATATCTGAGATGAAACTGAGGGCAGCAACAACTACTCCAGTGGACATCAATGTGAATATATCATTGGCATAAAAAGTATCATTCAGACCATGTGATTTTTATATTTAACGTGGGAACGTTTAAATGCTGAACAGTAGGGGGGTCAATATCAACCATTGAGGAATACCAGTCTTAATAAACCCAACTTCAGAGCTGAAACCGCCAAGAGAATCAAAGTATCAGAGATCGGGAAGATAATGGTTCAGTCATTTAAGAGGGATTCTTGCCAGTATCTGCTGTTCGGAATTACAGTTGTAGATAGTTCACCAGACTTGGCTTTGTTCTTTGTGCTGAATGTTTTTTTTTTTTAATGAGGCTCCATAATAGGAATTCGTTGTAAATATGAATCTTGTTACATTTCTGCGGGAGCGCAAATGTGGATTGAGAAATTCTGATTTTGCAGAAGATAAAAATTGTAATAAATGCCTGTGCTGGGTTGACTTAATTCTGGCAGGTGATTTTTCAGTTAGCAGCAGTCACTTCCAAAACAGCTGGGGATGTTCTTTTTGTGCCTGGTTAGGCAGGTGCAACAGGACCATGGCCAAATCAGAGCACTTTGGGCTTTGTTTATTTTTCAGAAATTAAAAGCAGAGAGCTATACAATAAATGCTTCAAGCTGGTTTCACAGTAATTTGAATATTAGTGAGCTACCGCTCTCCCTCTCCACACCTCACACACAAGTACTACTCCTGCAGTCAGACAGTGGAAAAAAATGTTTTTTCAGACATGATTAACTATTCACTTAGGGTATTTTGTAAATAGTTTAGTAAATGAGCTTCATCTTGGGTTTCCAACCTACAGATTCACATTTGTGCATTGTTTTGTGTTTTTTCTTTACAGGAGAAGAACAACCAGTAGACTGGTCTCTAATTATTCTAATTATTATTCCAATCTTTATCGCTATAGCTGCCATAACTCTCCTTATCTACCTGAAAAGGTGAGTTTTCAGGTCATGTAATGCTTGCTCATTTAAAAGCACATTCTATATGTGTCCCCAAAATTCCATAGACGTTTCCATTTGAATGTTTTCAGGGAAAGGCAATACAACATTTTCCATTTGTACAGAACTGTCCCCTATTTTTAAATCTCTTAATGTAACCAGCAAGAACCTAAAATCTGAAACCAACAACAGTCTTAATTTTCAATAAAGAAATAACTGGGGGTTAAACAAATAGGTTTTGATTGAAATATCTGACGCATTTGTTTTTTACCTGGAAGATGACTGTGCCAGCAGTTTTAATCCAGGGTCTGACAGCAGACACTACAGACTGTTACTCGTTAGGTGCTAATGTAGGAGACGTTTCTTCCTGTGTTCAACTGGGGAGGTCCTATGAGGCTGATATGTCTGCTGGATTTCAAAGGTCTTTTTAAAGCAGCAGTACCTGAGGACTGTGGGTTAAGTCTGTAACCAGTTGATTGAGTTGAGAGCTGAGTCTCAATGACTCAATTCCACAGACACACTGGACCAGGATTGAATACCAATGTCCTACAGGTGTTATTAAATGAGACTGATTCCCAATATCCTTCACAAATTAGTAGGGTGAGAAGGTCAGATGAATCAATTGGCCTGCTTACAAACAATGAGCTATATTGCCTCAACTCATTTGTAACTATTTTTTTATGATTCATTACTGAGGTTTTTCTTTCTTAACTGATTTTCACATGGTTCACTCCCATCTGTTTTATGTTTTTTTTATTTTAAACCTTACTCTCACATATAGTAAGTTATACTAAAATGATTAACACTCCTCATTGTCTCTTCCGAATAACCAGTTTAATTTTTCATTTTTAACATTTTTCTTAAGACTCCGGCTACTGATTCTGCCTCGGATCCCTGACCCTGGGGCCATCTTTAAACACATGTTCAACATCAATGATGATCGAATGGTAAGAGGACTGATTTGTTTACTATTCTTGAAAGATGCCACATTAAAGCCAATTTCATCTGGTCAGATTTGAAGGCTCCTTTCCTATTAGTTGTGGCCAGCACTTTCAGATATGGGCTCTCTTTGCATTATGGCACTTTTTGTTTTGGTGCTTTTGATAAATTGCAATAATTACAGTCATCAAGAGTTATGTGGATTAAGTTGACAGCATTTGTTTATGTATGGAGAGAAACAGACTGTCCTCCCTTTAAGTAATTAACATCATGATTAAAGAGGCTAGAATTAGGTTCTGTGTACAAATAGCAATACACCTGTAAGTCAGTTGAAAATATTTTCAAGACTGCACACTCCATGTCTCCTCTTTTTCACAGATGTCAGAGAAGGATGAAAAGCAATACAGGCTGTTTGAACCGTACCCTGAAGAAGTCTGTGCCGTATCAGTGGTGGAGCAATGTACTTAATGGGAGTTAGAAAACCACTACATATGGAGTATTACAACCCCTGAGAGAGGTGTGGGACTGTTTCAGGCATGGAAATAAGACCACCTCAGCTTGGCCTTTAGGGGAGAATCAGTGTAAAGACAACTGCCCCGAACTTTCCTTCAGGACTGCTGCTCAGATTTACTGGGAAAGTCTTCGCTAATTTCGCACTTTGCCTTCTGGAAACGAAACAAAATGTGGAAAATTCTCCCGAAGACGTTTTTTTGCCTTCAGCAGATACCATGGACGTAAAAGTTTTGGTTACAGGATTAGCACTTCTGTTATAGAGGAGCATTTATCGGCAGTAAAGAATCCCACACCTGATGCAAAAGAACACAAACGAAAACCTGTTCACAAAAGTGCGCTCAAAAGTGAGTTCAAATGATTTACTTGCTGTGTTGCTAGAATGTGAATCCAGAACGTGGTAGTGAAAAGGAAATAAAGTTTCCATTTCCAGACGACCTGCAACTTCAGCTGTAGAGACCTGATAGATCCTGAGCCACTATGGTGGTTGAAATCACCCTTAAAGGCAGTTTCTGTTGTATACATGAAAAGGCTCCTTGGATAAAATACATATGAACAATATTGTGCACGAATGTCCTGGCTCAATCTTGGTTCCACTTAACTTGAAGAACAGGGTTGCGTTGACACAGAAAAGTGCCATTGTTCGCAGACTCAAAAGACTGACTGGAACTTTTCCATCAGGTGTATATGTCAGCACACAAGAATGGATCCAGATTCCAAAGACTGGTAGAGAAATGGGGGCTGTGTGGTGATGTGTTCTCCATCTTGCTACACCCAAGTACTGCCTAGCCACACAGAATCATTCCTGTGAACTTAGAGAAAGTGCCATGTTTTTCAACATTTCAAAAGCTAAATAACTACAGTCCTATCATCATATACTGTATACACAGGTGTTTTATCATAGTTTCATGCAAATACATATACTACTCTGTAGCAATCATATATCCATAATCCCCAGCACATTCTGTAACAAGATGGGTAGTTTTATGTTTTCCCTTAAAAAAAAAAGAAGGAACGTTGCACATTTCCTAAAATACAGGGCCTAATTGTAGTGCAGTGAAGGGCAAATTAGATATTCCAAGTCCAATCAGAATTTCCTTTTCCTTTGTCAGACAAGAATGAATAAACATCTAGCTGATCAGTGTTCCTGATCCAAAATGAAACTGTAAAGACGTATGTTTTTCTCAACTATCAGAAGATAAATGGAGACTATATTTGTGTAATGTTCATTTACAAATGTCACTTTTGCTTTTGAGGACAAAAAATGGTTTAACATTCTCTTCTCTCTGTGCCCAAAAGAATGTACATAATAGCATAATAGTAGTGTGCTGAGAGATTTTGACTTTGAATTTAATGAAGTCTCCGGTACAGAATATTGTCTGGGTAAACCACCTTTATAATGCAAAATGTGCTGCTATTACTATCGCGACTGTGATAATGCACTCTGTGCTGTGCTGTGTATTGGCTCATTAAAATATGTTGCACTTTGTGTGCATTTATGCTACACGTTGCAGAATCCAACATGGCAATAAAAGCCACACCAAGGCATAGTTTCAAGAAACTGGGGTCACATTACCCACTTCAGTGATCATAAACTTCAGGTGGTTTAATTTGTAATGATAGTTAGATTGGAGTTTATGTTTTCTGTTTTCTTCATAAAAGTCTGTTGTGTGTCTAGCAGTAGTTATTTATTAATTACCCTGATAATACCATAAAACTATAATTTAAGATTAAGGAGCTCTAAATCCAATTCAGTTATTTTGAAAAATCTAGGGCTGACAGCTCTGACAGCTGTGTTATTCCCCACACATTAAGTACACTTGCTAAGATGCACTAGCATCATTGAAACTTAAGACATCTGCTCTTATTATGGATTTTAATGTGGTCAGTTCCTTATTTGAAAACTTCCCCTGTGAGAGATGCTTGGAGAAGCTTTACATTTGCAGAAACGTGGACACTAGTTCAAACACTGTTGGTTAGTACTTAAAAAACAAACTTTATAATGCATCATTTTGAAGGGTGTAGCTGTAAAAAATGTAAATGTTTTATTGTAAAATCCACTTTTTGTCAAAGTGTTGTACAATGTGAGTTCACAGAGTGGTTGTGTATATTTTCTTTAAATATGTGAATACTTTGTCATTTTTAATGTTATGAAACTATCAAATAAAAATAGATTTGACCATGTACACATTGTCATCGTAAAGATGTTTAAGTATGGAAATGTGTAATAATCTGATCTTAAAATCCCCACAGCTTTCAAGGTAACAAAAAAGCTTATTATTAAAAACACCTACACATTTCTACTGTAAACTGATATTTGACCTTTCTCAGTTTATGACTAATGAAGATTTCATCAGAAATGTGGAGGTGTTTTGAATATTGAGAATGGTGGAGGTTTCTGAGGTTTTTTTCCCCATCTATTGCTTTTCTGTGGAGTCATGTCAGTTATCCTGTGACATATTTTTCACATACACTGTACACACAGCATCTATTGAACTGGTAAACAAAACCAAAGCTTCTCTTTCATAGTACAATGTAACCTTATATTGGCTTCTTTCAAAAAACATTTTCCCCATTTACTTGTATTATTCGGCTCTCATTTGCAACACTTCTTATGTTATGATTGTCTGGAGCAAACTGTGCTGCCATGTTGTTTAAGGATCCATGGTATAATGAGTGATTTAGCCTTCTCCTTTTGTAACCTTTTTTATATTTCTATAGCCACAATCAGTGCTGTGAGATCACACTTACAGTAAACTGCTGTGCTCTCAGGCTCATTGTAATAAGTAAATACTATTACTATTGCATACAAGTGCTTTCCTATGTTTTGTGTCACATTCCAATTTTATTTCGGCAATATATCAAAATGGGGGCAATGCAGGCCAGAGAAGACGTGACAATAAGCTATTAAATAGGTTCTCTTTTAGAAAGAGGTTGGTAAACTGCAAGAGTAACTGAAGAGCCTCCCCTCCACATTTTACACAAGGCTCTTATGTCCTTTAAATCACTGTGTCACAACTGTGTTTGGGTTCTTTGAACATAACGCTACACAGGAACCCATCCTACCTCAGAAGTTCAAGTAGTTTGTTAGGAATAAAAACAAAGCAAATCAACCCTCAGGATGAAGAGTAACAGAAAATGAGATCACATAAGGGAAAAAGAAAGAGAGGGGGAGTGAGATCTGCTCATCTTAAAATGATCAAACAAATCTCCTCTTCCAGAAGAGTTTATGGTTCCATTTCGTGTTATGTTATCTAGAATATTAATAGAAAGACTAAGACTGATATCTTGAAAATCTTGCTCCTTTGGACACTCTACGTCCTTAAAAGAGACCACAAAAAAAAAGTGGAACATCAAGAATTAAAGGTGAGGGCCTGAATGAGATCACTGAAACACTTGCAGAATAAAATGTACATGTTTCACTAGCAAATACTGTAACTATGAAGCAGTATTTGAATACTAACTAACATACGAATTGTCCTGAGGAATTTTTTACAGGTATGCACAGGTACCCATCTTAAATGTTAAGACTCGCCTTCCTGTCACTCCTAAACATAGCAACCACTTTATTTATCAGTAGAAAGATTAATCTTTCATGTGTATTGAAGCAGAAAAAGCAGCAATTCATCTTAGCAAAGCTGACTGTGGTTACTGCAGGGTTCAACCAACATCATAAAACTTTTAGGAGGTACTCAGTTGTGGTTTCTATAATTATTTGGATTTTTACATTCTAAGAGTATTTGGCCTGTTCAGTCTACTTCTAGTGACGTCCGTACAGGTTTCTCAGAAAATGAACCTATTGATCAAATGTAGATTGTTTATGTCATTAGTTGGTTTGAATAACTTCAATAGTTGCCTTTACTGAAAAATGCATTCCTCACCTCATGGAAAATGTCACATCGCTGCTTTCCGGTTTCTCAGACATTCATTAAGTTCCTATGTTAAGTTAATGGGTGGTGTGACATACTGTAACATTGTCACTTTTGCCTCTGTTGAACTGCTTCTAGAAAATCCAGAGCCTCCCTCAGACCCACTGCAGATTTAGTTTGCTGACGTGCGCATTTCCTGGGTTGGCAGGAAATCAAGATCAAATGCGGGGCCTGATGGGGAAGTGCTGATCCCCCGGGATCACGTCAGCTTTTCTTTCCAATTCCCCTTCGGACTGTGGCTTGTAGAGCCTGTAATCTTCACCCTCTGGAGCTCAGATCTTTCTTTATAGTGCTACTAGAAGAGAATGCTATATATAGTAAAACCAGAGCTATCATGGTTATAAACTACTACAATTTAATCAAAAAAATGGCTGAAGTCTTGGTTTGAATAACAAAATGTAACCAAACAAACACGAGGGGCCTCTCTCAGTTCTTATCTTTCTTAGCGTTTGTGACTAAACAAAAGGGTAATGTTTCTTTTAGGCACAGTTTTGTTTCAGTCTGTAATTTCGTTTCATTCCGTAATTTTAAACAAAGAGCAAATCCTTAAGGAAGGATGTGCAGTGAATATGAATATTCATATTCTAAAGAAAGGCTTTCCCTAAAGGTAAAGGTGTTGCTCTAGACATAAATGTGATGCGAGTTGATTAGAAGGTTAATGTCCTGCTCACAATGATATCCTTTATACCTTGGGGAATCCCTGGAGTTTTTTTAAGAAGCATGTACTTCCTGCTTATTTCCATATTTGTCCAAAAGCAATTCACATAATACCTCAGTAAGTTTAGTTTGCTCAAAGAGGCTGTGACATTGGCTTCTTGAAGACAAGCTGTGTTTTTTTTTTTCCACTGGAAAAACACAGATGTACAAGTTACAGGCTTTTCACTGTTAGGACAGGTAAAAAGATTACAAGTGAAAGAGAGAGAACAGTCAATTACTTTTTACCACAAGCAAGCCTTGAATGGGAAATACCTTTCTCGTGGAACTAGAATTCTATGTAATGGCTGTAGACAATGGAGGTTCAATGGGGAGGAAAACATCTTTAATTAAAACATCAGGAAGCTTGTCTATTTAGCTGGTAAAATGCTTTACATCAGGCAACACTAGCTTTAATTACTTCCAAAATACTTGTTTGCTGTTTTCAAAACCAAACATAACTTTCGCTTTAATAAGCCCACAGTGCCATCTCCTGTCTGTGGAAGGAATGCAGTAAACTAGTGTCACAGTCATGTAGAAAATGAGTTAAAGGGTTTTGGTAAAGCTATCAGGGCAGGGCAGCAGCTCAGTAGTTACCATTGCTGGTTCTCAGTGCTGGGGCCTGGGATTCAATTCTAGACCTGTGGTACTATTTGTGGGGAGCTTGTAAGTTGTACTTGTGTTTACACAGGTTTCCTCTGGGTGCTCTGGTTTCCTCCCACAGTCATACTCATTCAAAACATATTGGTAGGTTATTTGGTTTCTGGAAAACTTAACTCTGGAACCCTGGGGTGAGCATAAGTTGTGTGAGTGTGTCTGTGTGTGCCCTATAACGGGGTGATATCCCATCCAGTGTGTATCCTGTATCGTGTCCGTTCTTCGATGAAATATGCTCCAGTTTTCCCATGACCCTGGAGTGGATAAACTAGTTAGAAAATAGATGGCACCTACTGCAACTGAAGGACAAATATCATATATTTGGAAAGTAGGAATATATAGGACTGTAGGAAAGTCCTCCTGTTTTTCCATGTGAAAACGTTCCAGGAGGGTGTAGGGTATCCAGAAGCAGCTCCAGTCCTAACCTTCTCCCCTATCCTCCACTAACTACCTCCACTGAACTACACTACAAACCTGCACATTACCTGACTTTGAACTTTGTTCAATACAAAGCACAAAACTGCTGTGCTGGAGGGGCTATGAAATTGAAAAAGTGCCTTATATTGTGATTTTTTTCACCTCATAACTTAGTGCTTTATCTTAATATTTTGTATGACCCTTAGTTATGAAACTTGTGTACTGTTCAAATTTGTGGTGTCTATTCGTTTAGAACAGGGGTCTCCAAACCTGTGGTCCCCTATTTTTAAAGGGAAACTGAAGTCTCGATTTCTGAGAGCTATTATTAAATCTCGGTAACAAAATAAATTCATTGACAGCATGGAAAAAAAATTACAAGTTTCGAATTCCAAATTCATTAACTTTGTGAAAGTACTGTAAGTCTCCATGTTGTTGCAAACCCCTGGTCTCACCGTCAGACAAGAGCGAGATTTTGTAAGAATTGTGATGTGATGCAGCCCTTCCTGCTCACTAGTCACTGTAATGACTAATGTAATATGATGTACAGTAAGAACGCATACATACAGATTGTGTAGCAGACATTTCTCGGCAGAAGTGTTCCAACGTGGTCTGCATGCAGAGTTAACAAGTAAGTACTATTTGTCGGCAAAACCGTCTCGAAATAGAGAGCAATATTTCTGTTGGATTACAAGAGATGTATTCACAAGCCTGCTAGTTAACAATGTAATAGGGCTGGTTCATGTCATTGGCTGTTTTGTTGCCTCATTCTGAATTGCAGAATATGACTGGGTGCACCTGGAAATTTAGTCTATTTGATGTAGGTTGGAGGTTTGAAAGTTACTGTGTACATTTTACATTTATTATGGTTTGAAATATTCTTTCTTACACCGAACTTTAGAAAATATGGTTGCAACTACCCCCTTTCAAAACAAAGCAGGTGATAAATCAAAAAATGAATCTGCTCAATCAAGAATACTTAATTTTTATCAATAAATCGCTTAATTTCTCAAATCACCTGTTTAATCTATCGCAGTTGATCTATGGCTTTAGAAATTGGTAATTTAATGGTGACTTACAAAACCTCCTGAATTGGGGCTGCCTAGAATCAGGGTTCAAGACCCTTGTTTTAAAATGTAAGTTTAATAAAAGGAAAACTTTGCTAAGGTTATTCGTGCAAGACAAGGCACAGTCAGAATAATGGAAATGTTTTTAAAAAAATCTAATATGGTCACCACATTGTGACCTAGAGTCTGACCTTTTTACCTGCTACTATTGCCAATGGAATTATGAAAGCATGTTTCATTGGTTAATTATAGGGATTTTATAGTCATTAAATTATTTTTCACTACAAAATCTATAATAATAAATA